CCGAGCAGGTCCCGACAGAAGCAGCCCTGCACAGAGTTATATAAGGTATATAAAATGAGATGGAGCGGTCGGAAGAAGTAGTTATAATAGTACCCCGAATCCCCACATGACCTGCATAATCATCAGAGCAGGGTATCCCCCGAAACCCGATTCTAATCAAGATAACGCACTTATATAGGCACCTATCGTAAAATGACCATTAGAGTAGGATATCAACCAAAACCGTGAAGCCCTGTAGACACCTATATAGTACCCTCGAAGGAGCCCTTAAAGGAACTCTTATAGGCAACTGACGAACCAGGCAACCTCATGGGCAATGCCTCGCGCCAACGCCTCATCAAAGCAATCAACGGGCTTCGCTTCGCCGGCCGGCACCTTGAGTCCTGGAGATAAGGATGTAATGCTAGAGAACACAATATGCTATAAGTATAGCATAGTATAACATACTATACCTTCATATAATATAACAACATAATGTGACACACTCAGTTTTGTCGAAGGCCTCGCAGCCCAGAGCGAGGTTGTTGAGCTAAAAGTTCTTGTCCAATTGGGTGGGCTTGACGAATGAGGGATGTTTTGCGCGCGCTTCCTCCTGATTGTTCGGTCTGCTGCTATGTGCCTTGTGCCTTTGCACAGCGAGACCTTCGACCTTCGAGGATTGCACGACAGAGAGCGAGAGAGCAATTAGACTAAACTATGCTACCTAGACCCCCCAACTACCCTCGAACTCGTAAGTACCCACTATTAAGGACCCTGATGGCTCTATGAGAGGGTACTTGGGGGGTCTTGGTATACTCTAAGCATAAGGCTGACAGATTTGTTGACTTATCGGGTCAACCGGGTCTAGGGTTCAGCCTAAGTGTTTCTATAGGACTTATATAGGGTTTTTGGGGTTGTCAGAACGTTGAACTAAATAGGGACTGCGGCGTATATGCGGTTCAAGAGACCGGAGCTTCATGGTTCTGGTTTTGCCGATTTGTGTACTCCTGACATTTACGATTCTCTCGCTTTGTTTTGTTTGTCCCCTCTCTCGCTCTCTCTCCCCCTCCTTCTCTCGCGAACTCTTGCTCTTCCAAACTGATTGCCTCGCTGAATCTCAACCCAAGACGCATCTGAGGTACAAGCTGCTCGGGATTGGGAATCACAGCAGCCATTCTCAAGGCCTGCAGTGGATTCCGGGTGAAGACATTGAAAGGTGGAAATCGGCTTTGGCACCCATGGACCCATGGAAGCAAAGGCCGTACACCTCGAGTGCCAGATCCCTAGTTTCGTATTAGAATGAGGCAGACTCCGACTCCTAAGCAGGGCTCCGCACCGTTCTTCGCCGTGTGCCTGGCAGATGCCCAGGATTGCAGTACTTATAGCAAGCTACTTCCCAAAGGGTCCTGAGTACGTATATGGGGGGGGGTACCTGCCCAAGCCATGATAGGTCTTCCTGTTCTAGAAACTTACCTACATTCTAATACGTGTATACAGGTACTTCGGACATTTTTGGGGTTGACCCTTGCCGGGGCGTGGCTGCTGCGGATGGGAAGTAGAAGCGGAACTGTTCTATCGCCATTGGATTCGTTTGTCGGAATGGCATGAACCTTCCCAAAGCCCCGAAGACCCATTGTTCGAAATTAAACCATTGTAGATGTATGAGCAGTATGAAGCCCTCTAGCAGACCCTCCATTTGCATTGCTTCTCCCCGGAGGTCAGTGTTTCGCAGTGCTGAAGTTCGATTCCGGTATCATCGCATTCAAGTTTCAAAAGGCCGGGGGAACTCGCTGTGGTGTAGGGTTTCGGGTCTGGGTGGTCGACGAGGTCTTGTTGGCGGGCGGGTTTTGGGGTTCGCAAAAGGAACTTATGAGGCTTTGTGCGTGCAGGCAGGGAGACAGGCTATTGGTTTATCAGGTGTGAGGATTTGGGTCCGTGCCGTGAAAGCCAGCAGAATCCACATAGTAAGATGAGCCGTAGTTGTGCGAGTGTCCTTTCAGTCGGAGTATCATGCCGCCATGTGTACGTGTACATATGTATGCATGCATGCACGGACTTGTGGATAGATGTACCGTAAATGTCAAGGACTGGTTTCAGGGTGGGTCCACGGCCTCACAGAAAGGTGTAGTCATTCTGCTCTGCAGGCAGACACGTTGTTCTGAGAGTGAGGGTGGCTGCTCTAGTTGACGTGAGTGTCAGTTTAGGGACTTCGAGGGTTCGGAGTGCGCGCTTCTCGCGGATTCTAAGTGTTAAGGCTGTTAAGGGCTTGCGGGCTTTATATCAGGGTACGTGCTGTGTGGCCCAGAGCCTTTGTAAAGAGGTCATGCTTCCTAAACCCTACACCCTTCAGTATACCCCTATTCAACCTCGCCTGTGAGCTTTGTTCTCTGCCATGCGAGAGGGAGAAAAAAAACCTATTCCTTGAGCCTTGAGCTCTTAAAGTCCACCGATTTTCAGGCTTGGAATGCCAAGTATGCCCCGGAGATGTCGAACTTCCAGGCCTTGCCGTGGGGCTTGGGTTTCAGGTGACAGTTGGGTTGTGCTGGGCTAGGATTTGTGTATTTCGGGCTTATCGGGTCTAGGGTTCGGCGACTACGTTTCTGGAGTCGGTTTGGGGCTGCGGGTGGTCCGAGTCTGTGCCGTTTCATTGGGGCCTTGACGGCCTTTGGTGCGTGTTGAGAGTATGTGGAGTGTTGGGGGTTGTCTGCGATGACGTACAGGTTCCAAGAGTTCTGTTCGCAATGCTCCCTGACTACGACCCCGATGCTAAGTAGGAGGGAAAGAAACCCCTAACCTCCCAGGTACCTACTGTATAGGGTACTAGAGCCCCTGGGGCCCTATATAGTAGGTACCTGGAGGGTTAGGGAAACCTGCCATTCCTGATAGGCCGAAAGCCTGAAGTCCCAAAGCCGAGTTTAGTCCAGGCATCCATGAGCCATGGCCTCCGAAGAGCAACACCTTCGCTGCCAGCAGCCAGGCAACGGCTTCTGGGTTTAGGGGTGTGGAGTTCGGGGTTTTGGGGTTCAGGATGGGCGTTCTCAAGTCTTCGCGATGCCGAGCAAGTGTGGTAAATTCCCGAGACATGTAAGTGCTGTGCCTGAAAGACAGCAGGCTTTTCGCGAGGGCATGTGCGCTGCAGCTCAAAAAAATAGATGTGCTTTGTTGTTTAAGGTGTTTGGAGCTGTGTGTTTGCGAAGATCAGGCATCTGTCTAGGGAAATGTGCGTGTTTGCCTGTCTGTCTGTTTGTCTGTCTGTCTCGTAGGCGTTAGGGCTTGGGGCCAATGGGGCGCAGCGGTTTATGGGTCGGCAAATCCGGTAACGCCCTGGATTCCGAGACCTGATCCGTGTATGCTATGCTCAGTATAGACCTGAGCAACACCGCTTTTACCACGGTAGTACAGCAAAAAATAATATGTGGCAACCAGCATGAGCATGTACTGATGTGCTGGACTTACTTGCATCACACACGAAATGATCGGACGACAGTAAGTGGCGGCTCACCTCGCACAGCTCTTCTGACAAGCCTCCATGCCTGCTCAAGGCCACCGACGAAGGGGCAGTCTTCGGAGAACCGTAACTTTGCAGCGAAGAATTGCGGGAACCCGCAACCCTAAGCCTATACCCGAGTTAGGACTGAAAGCCCTCAAAGGTTTTTGGAGAGTGTCGGGTTTGGGGTGCAGGGGACCCCTTGGACCTGGGCCAAGGCTGCACACCACGCGACCCAGTTGGTTGTAAGAAATACTCCGATCTGCTCACTATGAGGCCCTATGAATAGCACTCCGGACTTTTCTACCATCATGCGCGTCCATGACTTCGAGTGCACAATGTACCTACCACGGCAGGGCATGGGATCTTGTTCGAGGTTTCCGGATTTGTGTGGCTGCGTTCGCTTGCGGCGGTTTGCTGCAGCCGTCGGCTGGGCAACCCTTGGTCGATTGAACCCGCTATCCGTACGGCTCCAACAGGCACGCGACCAGACTTGAGAAGGACGTCAGTGTTCGCAGTGCCATACCCCGCCTATAGGCCTTGCGAGACAGCTGATCCGGGGTGCAGGTCTCTCCCTCGGCGTCTATCGCTCTCTCTCTCTCTCCCTCTCCCTCTCCCTCTCTCTGTATCGCGCGCTCTCTCAAGGCAATCGGGGCATGTGCACACCTGCCGACCCAAGCGAAAGGCAAGCTTCAAGTGAAGTCGTGGGTTTTGTCCTATCCCAGGCCTAGCCTGTTCTACAGCATCTCACCGTACACTTCGGCAGCAGAGGGCATCGCTTTACTCATCCGACCTGCTAGCTTCTTTCACACCCGAGCATCCGGAAGAGCCCTGGCTACACGAACCCCGGGTCGTTAGACTTCGACCCTGGCCGAACACAGCAATTGAAATCCCAGGATTTCGGCAAGCAGCAAAACCTGCGCCAGCAAACCAGGCGAAGGCAAGATTGCTCTGTAGAAAAACATACATACACACATACATACATACATACGTACATACATACAACCTACGTACATACAAATACAGACACACACATCTATATATATATATATGTACGTATGTATAGATATGTATATATGTGTTATATGTATACATGTATACACATGTATGCACGCATGTATGCATGTATGTATGTGTATGTATGTGTATGTATGTGTATGTATGTATGTATGTATGTATGCATGCACGTATGTAGGTATGTAGTTATGTACGTACTTATGCGTGTATGCATATGTATTTATGTAAACGTGTGTATATGTACATATATACACATTGACCTGTTGATCTATTTGGAAAGCGGGCCCCCCGCAGTTGGCTCGCAAAAGACGAAATTTTGGCGACAGGAGCTGCACTGACGCTTCTGAAGACCTAAACTTCGGAAATTCAAGCTTCAAAGCGAAGGTTGCTGAACCACCCGTGGGACCAATCACAATACATAGCGACATGCCATAGGACAAAATGGTATTCCTTGATCCCCGGCGTTTGGATGCTTTGATTTGAGCTCTAGTGGGTGCACTTCTTCTGAGTGCCGGACCATGCAGCTGGCATTGCCGACGGCAGAGGTCTGCAGGTTCTACAGCCAGTGCAACATTCCCAGTGGGCGCTGGGAGCTTGCTGTGTCTGAGGTTTCGAAATCTTGCCAAGCGGCCCGGTGAAGAGGTACTGACCATGTCCGGGTTTGGGTTTGCTTTGTCCTTACATCGGACAGCAACTTTCGTTGATGAAGAGAAACCTTGCGCACTATGCAAGTATGCAGTACGCATGCTGCATGAGCCAAAACAAAAAGCTGCGGTGGTGCATAGTTTCCGAAGGCTGACATTCTCGATACTGGTTCAAATCACACACGCCACCGACTGGCAAGGACCTAGAACTCGGCTTTGCGTGTAAGATGTCGGAAACGGGAAGCCATAAGTCCTCATTCCAGTTCTGGGTTAAAGAGCCCAATTCGGTTTTGCAGAAGAAACCTTAGTTTACCCCTGCAAAAAGGGATTCTCAATAACCAGGACCCAGGATCTCTTTTGAACATGCTGGAATTTTTAATCTTCGGGGACCCTTGGTTCTTCTAGTCCTCTAGTCAGTGCATTTATGTGTGCATAATGATGTTGTACATGCATGCATGCATGCATGCATGCATGAATGCATGCCGCATGTCTTGAAACCGTGAACCCTCCAAACCAACATGTGCATGCATACATTCATACATCACAGTTTAACAGGATGTAAATGATGTAAAGAGAAGGAGACACACACGCGCCCGCGCACGCACAGGCGTGCGCACGCCTGCGTACAGAGTAGAATATTAGATGTTTTTCAACCGGAATAAGTTTTCTGGGAAGGGTCCGTCGTTTGACATAATAAGGGAAATTAAGGGAAACAGTTTTGAATCAACGCCTATAATTGGTGGGGGGCCGAGATTGCAGCCATGCAATGCCGGCTTCGGTGTCGAAGCCCAATGCGGGTTGCACCGTCTTCATTGAGTCATAATGTTGCGGCCTGCGTCGGCGGATTCCCCCATTTCCCCCGAAAACTTCCCGCGTCCTGAATAGTGGACCCCCCCTGCGCTCATCCAGGTCCCTCTGTTCCCATAGACTGGTACATAGATATGGCTTGGGTGCGACTGGGGTCAGGAGGTCTGATGGTATGCATGCACCTTTACATTCCTTTATATATATATACTTATATATATATATATATATATGTTTTTTTAATACAAAAAAACGCAGGGCTGTCACACCCCCCTCCCCCCCTCACCCCAGGGTATCCTCCCTGCCCACCCCCGCCCCCGCTCACGGTACCCCCCCTGTGGTTTCCCCCTTAGCTGAGGCTTTGGTTGGCGTGAATTGGAGTATGCAACACACGAGGACCTCTTGTCACAATTTGTGACTCAACTACTGTTACGCGGAACTTCAAGAGCACTTGTTCTGATCTTCTCCACCACCTCATGTCTACAATCGCATCTACTATGGTCGTGCGACCCGCATCCGCCATTTTTGAAAGTCTTGTATGTTACTATTTATCTTTCTTCTTGCTGTAGTACCAGTGATGCTGCTCATGATGCTGTGCTGCTCTAGACGGCGATGCGAGTCGACAGTCGGATCATCTTTGACATCATGCTCAACATCATCATTGCCGTCACCATCTTCATCATCAGTACCATCCGAAGAATAGCTGCCACATGCTGCCACCATCACTATCACCATACGACCCTCAAAATTAAGCAGATTAAGCATTGTACTACTGCGCAGATTGCGCTTTCCGCACAAGGCAGCAGTGGGATACCACAGGGCGTGGAGGCCCTCCAAGTCTTTCTTTCTCTGATGCTCAATGATCGCATGGATGCGGCAGTCGCGTGCACGCATGCTATCATTCGAAGTGCGAAACAAGCTCAGCACCTCCTCCAGCGCCTGCGACGTGTCCGCGGCATATCGATCGGAGGTCGCTTTAGAGGTAGGCTTTGCATCTTTTTGCGCTCGAGATCTGGGTTTGTTCTTGGAGATTAAGTGTTTGGATTTTGGGTTAAGGGCCCATGCAGTTCATGTGTGGGGCCTCCCGGACCAAAACCACCCCTTCCAAAATCCCTAGTTTAACATCCAAACTCGCTGTGCCCTACACCACCTTAACAGCCAAACCGCAGAACCTAACCCTAAAAACCACCCCTCACAGTTATATTCGTTCTTGATCACAATAAGTTTTTCTTCATGCTGTTGTTCCTTACTAACGTCAATCATGATACTCTGAGTGCTGCTGCTCTCATAAACAAGCAGCAAACCGACACCCTGAACAACTAGACTCCAGACGTCGGCATTACCACCAAATCTCTCAAATTGGGGATAGTGCGGGTTTGGGTTTTGGGGTGTCGGTTTCGAGGCAGAACCCTGAAATCCTACAAAGCAGACGACCAATGTGTAGACTTTGCTGGACCCTGTAATGAGTGAAACCTTTGACCCCAGCTCCGCTCTCTTTCACAGGCATCTGCCCTAGCTCCTAAAACTTTAATCCTAAACCCCGAAAGTCCTACGCCCTAAGCCCCAACTCTTAAGCACAAGCTCTTCAAGATGCTCGGCAAAGGATGAGGCTGTGCCAAGAAGGCCACAAATGCAGACTTCTACACATCCAAACCTCAGTCCCTTCTTCCCGTAAATGTGCCTATAGGCTTCTCTTCGGCCTCCTTATCCTGTTTGGACGTGGCTTCCAGAAGCTCCTTCAGAAGCTCCTGCTGCAGCGTCCGGCTCGTTGGAAAACCTGACAGGGCAAAGACTTCGAGCTCGAGTTTCGGGATCACAAGAACGCATCCCTTTACTCGGTCTTTCAAGGCTTAAGGCTGAACCGAACTTGTACCCCTATATCTAACTATATCTGATATTAAGGTCTCATGGTCGACGTTTTGTTTGCCGTCATGGGATCTTCACAAGCAATGAGCACAAATCCGGGGGACGTCTCCGGGCTCTAGCGGGATTCTGGATTTGATCGTGGGCTCAGGAGTTGGGCTCCGGGGTTACTGCTTGTGGATTTCGGCGCTCACACTCGGACAATCCAAGCGAAGCATGTGGTTCGAGGTCTGTTGAAAGTGAAACACAAGCGAGTTCAAGACCGCTAGGACAATGCCGACACCTAAGGCTAAGTCACCTGCTAACGGGGGTGGGTCTTCCTCGCACCAAGATGTGTATATCCAGTATCTAGTTATGGGTCGTAGCGACCCAAATCCTCCGAGTCACGCCTTCGGGGTACCAAGCAAACTTCAGGAGTCTAACAAATTATCAGAGGCAGGGACTTGCTTCAGGAAATCTGACGTCACTCCGTGAATCCTCTCGATTCAGCTGGTGGCAGTTGTCTCTACTCTCTTCATCCACTGACAGCCTTCCTGCTTCCGAAACCAAATACACCCTGGCCCTTGCAAGAACATGACTTGGCACTAAACCACTTGTGGATTTAGGGTGTTTGCTTTGGGGTTCGGTCTTTTGCTTTTAGGCTTCAGTTTAAGGCTTAAGGAGGGTTTAAGGTTGGGTTCCAGGGGGCCTCAGCGGCTCGAGGGTAAGTTTCCGCTGGCTTTTCACAGACTTCTGTCTTAGGGCCTGGGGCAGCGATATCAGGTAGAATGGGCTGAGAGTGGCTGTTGGCTCCTGGGCACATCTTGAGAGACACAACCTACACCGAACACCCAATGCCCTAGAACTCCAAACCCTGCATGTCAAAAATCTGAATCCTTTGCCTCAGCTCCGGAAGCCTAAGCTCCAAACCCTACATCCGAAACCCGAAGCATGTCAAGGAACTCTCAAGAACATGTGCAGCGGCGATTTGCCCCGAATAACCAGGCCACCAGTCGTCCTGGTCACAAGGCTTAGGGTCAACTTGGCAAGACCTTGGGGCCTTTGGGTCTCTTCTGCGCCTTTAAAGGCTTAGGGTTTTGGAGGTTTCGGGCTTCGTGAATTTGGGCTAGAATAAAGCCAGGGCTTCACCAGAACAGCGACACATCATTCTCAGGAATCTAGGCTGGGAGCAACAGCAGGCTTGAGTGTTACGATGGATGGCGTGCATCTCCATGGATCAACCCCGAATGATCCACAAGACATAGCTATTGCCTGGGCTTTCTGGCTAATCCCCGTGCGGTCATTTTGCAGTTATGCCTTTCATCCGTCCCCGACATTTGCTGTTTCTGAAGCACCATGCACTCAGTTGGGAAAGCAAGACAGAGAGAACTGAACTTGTCTCAAATGACTCTGCTGTCTCAGTCAAACGGGACCTCAGTCTCGAGAATCTTTGCTGCACCCAAAGCAGCAAGCAAGAGCTTAACGGTTTGGAAAGTGTCAGCAATAGTCTGTGCAACTTATTTCCACCTCAATCTGCTGGATTGTTGGTGGAGCATCAGCCTCGAGGACGCGCCCCCCTCTGCTGAGCCTCCGAAAACCCTGAATGCGAAACCCCAAATCCTGAAAACGGCCGAGCAGCCAAACTAGCAACCTTACTTAGTAGAAACCCTTAGAAAAGGGGTTTTATACTGGCGTCTTTTGTTGTCTCAAACTTTGTTCGACCATATACCGAACAGCCCAGAAAGGGGGAAGCGGCAAGCGCAGATACTGGGGCCTTAACTAAGGCTCAAGCCACCCCTAGCTCTCCTCTCCATGTGCAAGATCCAGGTTTGTGGCTTCCTTCTAGTAAGGTTCAGGGCTTACGGCTGCAGTTTAGGGTTAAGTTAAGGTTGTTCTAAGAAACATTTTTTGGGCACGATCGGCACGATTCGACCTTTTGGCTTCCACTTATGGTTGGGGCACAGCGGCTCGACCCCAAAGTCTGTTTCGGGTTTACGCTTTCACAGCTCGGACAGTCCAGGCTAGGCCTCGCAGTCGGTGTCAAAATAGGTGGCTGGAGGGCGTGTGTCTTAGGAACCGGATCTCAACAAAAAGGAAACCCTGCACTTCCCTTGCGGTGTCCCTTGCGCCGCCCCAGGTGGCATAAGGGGTCATGGCGAAAATGCATGGGTGCAGCCTCTGGGCAGAGAGCGGTTTTCGGCTCTCAGGGCTTCAGACAAGAGTTTGGTAACGTGCCGAACATAGCACAGAACTCCACCGCCACAGTCAGGCAAGACTAAACCCGACTTAATGTCGGGTGTGGGGCTGAGGGAAGGGTGTCGTGCTGAGGGCGATGTGTGCACAATGCAGGGCAAGACGCAAATTCTGAAAAGTGTGCACGAAGCCGGAGCAAGTGGCATGTTGTTGCATCTAGATTCCGTATGCACTTAGCCATGTCTGCATGCGAGTACTTCGGTTGTTGTATATGTAAACATAGGTCGGGTTTTATGCTCTCAACTTGGCACACCCGAATGAAGTCTCTCGGCTATGGGTATACTACGAAGTAGGGCCTGCTCTGGATGGCCAACAGAGTACGTCACGTGCTCAATCAGAACCCCTGACACCGACCCTAATATAGAGAACGCCCCCGCGCAGCTGTGTAGCAATGCACATGAAAGGGCTAAGGCCCTAGGAGCAGTGCTCTTTGGAGAAAGGTATAGTATGTGCCAACAACCTCAGTTGAAGTACGCGCAACCCTACTTACTAAGTGCCTGATCCTTCGCAGCCTCAGCCCTCTTCAAAACAAGGATTGTGGGTCTGGTCCCACCGACTGCCAGCATCGCCTGGTCTTAGAGGAAACCGCGCAAAAAAAAAGCCATGCCAAGTGTGACAGAGGAGCACGCCCCAAGGTGGGGTGCGGCGTGCCCCGAAAAGGTCCGACTGTGGACTATAAAGGCCCATATGCAGGCGGCGCTTCCAATCAGTCTGGTAGCCGGGGCTCCTGCAACGTGACTCATCCATAAACAGATGTAGGGTGAACATGCTCGGTTTGATGGCACCCCAGACAAAGAAGCGGTCGCTGGGCGTAGAACTCATAGAACCCGCGAAATCTTCAAGAAACCAGCTACAAGGTGTTCGCCGGGGTTCGAATACATTTCCGTGATCGTGAGGCCCAGCAAATGTCGGAGCACTTGCTGGTCGAAGTATAGCGGCTGCCTTGAGCATATGTCTTCCGCTAGTATTGGTGTGTGGCTTACGGTTCCAGGTGGAGGCCTGGCACCGAGCTTGGGGCGACAGGATGTGTTTCGAAAGACCACGAGCTCTCAGGGGTTTCGCAGAACTGACAGGAGTTGGGGTTCTGTGGCCTAAATATCGAAAAGAAAGAAAACCCTCAAAGCCCGAACGCTGAACTCGAAACGTCTTCAAGCTGTAAGGCCTTAGCTTGCGTGTCCTCTCTTGTTGATAACCCTACTGACTAAGTCCTCAGATACCTCAAGTAGTACGAAGCATCAAACATCGGAGAGCGAAAGCAAGTGGGGAGCCAAGAGCTTGACAAAGCCCTCGCATGGAACCAGGAAGCTATCATGCAGCAAAAAAAACCATTGACGCACCCCTACTTTGGCGGCAAGGCCCTTTTCGGACTTTCCACTGACCTGAGGCCGGCTTGAGCTCCTTGACGCCCTTTCCCGTGAAGAACTTCAAGTCCGGAACAGAGCAAAAAAGGAGACAAGAGATAGCTTTCGCTTGGCTGCAAGATCATCATCGACAGCCACAGAGCCACGAAGCCTAAGCAGATTTGGAATGAAGAAGTGTGGCTTTTAGGCGCTTGTGTTGTGGCGCTGGGGCCAAACCCGGAACCCTTGCGTCACGAGAATCTTACTCGCGCTAGTTTTCACATTGTCCTCGAGGTCCTAGGTGTCCCAAAGGCTCAACGTGGGTCTACGATGTGCTTTTTTGGGAGTAGGGTTCTAAAGTCTTCGGTCTTTATACGGTACCTTGCACGTGAAGCTCCTACGGGCACGATTTGGAGCAAGACCCGGGTAACCACAGAAGCTGGCATGTTTTGGAGAGGTCTTGAAACCCTTAACCCTGAATGGCAGCCCACGGCCCACGGCAAAAGCATAAACTGCACCCGTGCTGCGCAACGCCAGAATCGTACTCCGCACGAGCAGCAAGCCGGCATTCACACAGTTCCAGGAGTCTCCCTGTCATCATTTTGGGTGTTGGGATTGTCGTGGGTTGGGGCTTCAGGGTTCTAGGCGGTGGGGTTTAGGCCGGCCGCATTTCCGAAGGAACAGCAACACTGTGTAGTCGCAGAAACAGTGCAATTTCATCACCACAGGCATCACAAACTCTTCTGTCTCCGAGTTCTCTGACCGCTAGGCGCTGCAAGAAGACTCCAAAGAAGCCCCTGCCTCTACATGCACTCGACATTCGAGGCTGAGTAGTGACTCCACTCTGATGCACAAAGGTAGACACATTAAGCCCTCTACCGCTTACACCCGAAGCCCAATATGGTTGCCTCCACAGAAAGCAGCAAGTGGGGTGCCTCCTCCTGGCAGGTTTGTAGGGTGTAGAAATTCAGGGCTCGAGCCTGACATTTGAGGCGTTTCGGCTTCCCATGTGCATCGCGTCAATCTCCCCTACAGTAAGGGTCCCTCATGTAAGGAAAGAGGGGAATGTGCCGAAGGTGTCCATCCTCCTGGCTCACCGGTGGAGCGTCCGGGGAACGCAGCGGCCAAAGCAAAGGACGAGGATCTCGAACTAACCTGGGAATGTTGGTCTGGCTGCGTGTTTCTTATGAAAGCAGACCATAGCAGCCGGACCATATCAGCCGCAATTGTGTGATTTCGTATACAAGGGAGGATTTAAGATGCCCTCGAATTGCTAGAAGGCTTGCAGCAGAGTTCACAAACTGTTGTAAGGAGGGGATTTCGTAGTTGGTATTTAGGTTTCTGACACTCAGACCCGGACAAGCCAGGCAAGGTCTGCAAACAAAGTGGTTCTGGCGACCCTCCCTCATTACTGCAGAAGGGTGAAGAGGGACGTTGTCGGGATCCTTTTAACAGCATTGAGGCAGGTCGTGGCTTGTAAACTGAAAATCCTCTATCTGCCAGAACCAAAGGAAACATACCGAACAAAATTCTCTGCTTCAACCCACAGGAGCCCGTATACAAAACCCTGAACCCAATCCCCAAACACCTTTTACAAATCCGAAAGCCCTAGTACGATAAACGCGATCCAAGCAACACCACGTCCATGTCCAGCCAAAGCATGTCGTAGCCCCGGGCCAGACCGAGAGCCAAAGCCGTCGGTTTGCCCAGGGTGCTCCTGGGCCACCTTAGGATGAGAGCGATGCTCCTGAAACTCGAAGCCCAGACCTTAACTTAACCCGAGACAAGTGGTGATGATCATAACAGGAAAGAATAACTCAGAGAACCACCGATGGCGTCTAATAGCTATAGCCTCCTAGCAGGCCATAGGACACAGATGAGGATGCAAGGGTGATTTCTCGTTGATATTGCGGTTGGTGAGACAGAGTTATGATGTCATGACCATTCTCGCGTGCACGCGCACGCATGCGAAATGATGCTGGTGAGAATTGTGATGATACTACAGTACAGTTTTTTTGCGACGATGACGACGATTTCATTGATCATGGTGATGTCGATGATGATGGCTGTAGTCATGATGGTGTTCATGACGCTTCTTGCGAAACTCGAAAGCACGACCATCTTTGCTGAGCTGCTCGTCCGCGAAAGCACAGAGCTCAGGGTGAACGTGAGCTTTTTGGCAGGCCATCACAGCCTTTGGGTGCTGAGGCGAGGTGGGGTCTCTTATTGACTGTCGGGTTAGGCTGCTGGTGCTAGTAGTGGCAGTAGTAGTCGTCGTCGATGCAAGTAGCAATAGTAGGAGTAGTCGAGGTGGTGGTGGTGATAGCGGCGGTGGCAGAAGCGAGAGCAGAGTGCTAGAAGCAGTCGCCGTCTTAAGTAGTTCAGGCAACACTTTTCATCTACAAAGAACACCGTCCTGAACAATAGACGTCAGTCAGTAGTCCGAAAAAAAAAAAGGACCTGGCCACCAAACGGCCACCAAATACGGCCGGAGCGACTTGACATTATTGGGGATCCCAAGCTAACCAGTGCTGTCCATCACCCCTGTCCTGGAAGCCTCAAGCCCTGCGAAGTTCAGCAGCAAACCCCCGCGATTAAACATACTTAGCACGTTGGGGTCATCGGCGATTTTTGTTCGTAAAATTCTCCTGTCCAGGGATCCCCGGAATCTCTGGACATGAAGGATGGGGCTTCTTGTTTAGCCTCTTGTGAGTGGAGGCCAGGCCCAGGGTCATGTTTGGGACCGGGGCGACCGGGGCCCCTTGGCCTGGGCCGGCGACCTCCCGCTCCCGCTCCGCTGCTCACTTGACGATTGGACTAGACGACTGCTCCTACTGCTCCTCCTGCTGCTGCGACCACTGCATTACCACTGCCACTGGACTACGGCTACAACGACCACGACGGCAAAACATCACCACCGCGAGAGACCGTGGACTAACAACGGAAGAAGCAGGGGTAAACCTGACAGCTAAGGAGCTAAGGAAACGGAAAGCCTCAGCTAATATCAAACGGATCCCCTCCTTGCCTCTGCCGAGCACTTACCGGCTTCGTGAGTGCAGCGAAATCTCTTCAGCTTTCTTGGCAGCTCACTCTTGTGAGTGTGAGTGTGAAGGGACTTTTGCAACATGTGAGATTCGCCAAAGTGGAAAGTGTTTTCAGTCATGTCCGACAAGGTCTTGAAGGCCTAATTAGGCCCAACCAAGAGTGTCTCACACTCCAAACAGCGCTGGGGCACGTAGAGCATCTGTGCTTACCTGCCTACCTGCCAACTTGAAATACTTGGGGTACTTCAATCATTTGGGGGAATACTTGAAACATGAGAGAGAGAGAGAGAGAGAGAGAGACACACACACACAAAGAGAAAAAAAGAGAGGGTGAGGGTGAGAGTGCGCGTGAGGGTGAGACTCTTTGTTGGCAACGGCAACTCCAAGCACTCGCATTTTCGAGATCCCAAACCTCGAAACAACTGTGCCTGGTGTTGAACGGCCAAGTAGGCCCCCTTGTTGGCTCAACCGCAAGCACATGCATTTGTAGATTTCCAAGGTCCACAAAAATCAACATGACAGCCCTTGTGTGGCCCAAGCGGGTCCCCTACTGGCCACAATACCCAAACCCCAACCAAACGCATTTTGAGACTTCCAAGGCCCAGAACGTGAGGGCCTCCTGTTGGCAACGGCACCCTTTCCAAGCCTAAAGCAACAAAATGAAAACGCGTCTGGGCCGGCCAGGCAAGTGTTGGCAACAAACACCCAGCCCCAAGCGCTCGAATTTTCGAGAGATCAAATTACGGCCCCGAAAATCAACATGACTGTGCTTGGTGCTGTTAAACTCGGCAGGAAAGCTTTCTCTTGGGCGAGAAACAAGCGTGTGTGTGTATTCATCGTGAGCAAACAAGCTGACTAGTGTGTACACGAACTCTCCGTTATTGGTACGCAGTGTTACGACTTCTGCTACTAATCCCCCCGACTGCTGCTGCTGCTGTTATGGCTCTTGTACCGGTACTTTCCGTTACTAGTACACTACTATCCATAATCATTCTCGAAGCTTCTGTCATTGGTACACAGTGTTACGACTTCTGCTACTAATCCACCAACTGCTGCTGCTGCTGCTGTTGCTTGCATGTGCTAGTACTAGAACTAGTTTTGGCTCTTGTACTAGTACTGGTACCAGTGATACTCACTTCTAGTACCAACCGGCCGCCACCGACCAAACCATCACCAATAACAACACCACAGACGGGACCGACAAGAAACTACTTGTTTGGCAACATTTTGGTTGGGGGAGGCGCCCGCACCTATCAGCGTACAACAATACGTTGCATACCCGCCCTTCTGCATTGTCATGCTGCATGCGGCCTCAAGCAATCCTTACGAAGTCTAAACCTCCCGGGCCAAGTCACCCTCTCAGAGCCCTGAACCAACACGAGCCCCTACTCAAGGCGCCTCAAAGTCGTGGCAAAGCACAATGGTTGCAGCAAGGCCAGCTTGCATAACGCACTTCCTTGGGTACAGGTGGAGGCTTCAAGGCCAGAGGGCCAAAAGGCTCAAGAAAGTGTGGCATTACTGGCGGTCGGAGTGTTGAGCAAATCATCTTGCCAAGGCTTCCTCTTCAATTTTTATGTCCGCGGTGTACATTTGTTGGGTTCAGGCTCGTTCAGGGCTTTTGGATTTGCTGTGAAGTATCGATGTAGAGCTTCATCTAGACTCCTGATACACCAGCCTGCCTCGCTAAGCAAGAGCTGCACACAGGCCTCTAGCCTGCGAGACGAGGAGCAGCCAAAGAGGTAAACGTAGGGCATGCCGCGTCCCCCAGAGACTCGTCACTGCCACGACCTTTCGTGGAATTGGGGTCAAGGTCCAGTTCAAGGGGTGTTGTTGCACTCTGACGATTAATGTGGCGGCAGGTTTTGCCCAGTGGGCCTCTTGAACGTGTTTTTGTCTTATGCTTTTGTAAACTTGTGGACGAAGTCTTTAATGCATATGCATTTTTCGGTGCCTGGCTTTTGTTTTGTTTCACTTCTACTGTACTGCTGTACTGTACCAGCCCTCAGACTTGGTCGATTGTTGGAGGAAGAAGTCTTCATAAAGAAGGGTTTTTCCAGCCTTGGTAGTTATGTTGGAGTGATCGGGGCTTGGTTTCCAGTTCTTGGGGATGCCAAAACCGGGCACTCACGGAGCACCTCCACCCAACCACCCAAACCCCCCAAAACCCGTTGAAGCTAGTCAAGCCACCCAGACCCCAAGCCAACCCAAACTGTACACATTGTTCAGGCCGGGGCCGAATCGTCCGGGTCGGGGGCTAAATCCGCCACCACATTGGTTGCTGACAACTACCCGAAATAGACGCCCTTTCCGCACAAGCTTAAGCTGGGAAAGCTGCTTAGGGATATGCCTTCGGGTCTTAGGAGGTATAGCATCTGCTCAGGGCTGCGAAATCAGGCTCTTTTGTTGGGTTTCAGCACTCACAACTGGGACAAGCCTGGCGGGTTAGCGCGAAGCCTGCCCCTCCCAGGAAACAGGCCCTCATTTACATTGCCGTTGTAAGGAGGAGTGCATGCAGCATGCCCTGCGTATTCTGCCAGGAAATCAAGGACTTCGGGAGGCTTCCTGACATTCTCCAGTGACTCCTGCCATGTCGCAGGCTCACGGCTTGGATGTGCAGGAAAACGCTCGTCGGGACTTCTCATTTCGGCTTGGGGTTGACGGTCGGTCTTGCGCCTCTCCTGTCGAACTTCTTTATGTGGTGTTGGGCGACGAATCGGGGGATGATGACATCCGGTTCGGATATGGACATATAATGTGATGATGTGCTGCGGATGATGACATGAGGCTGATGATGATAGTGCACGTCTGTTCTTCGGATTTCGGACTGCAGGTCTCTGCTTTTCGGACTTCGGCGAGATAGTGCCGTCTTGTTTGTTGTCCCTTCTTGAGAGGCTTGCATGAACCTGTTCCGTTCCCTGAGGGCCATTGTGGCCGAAGGGCAAGAGCCCGTCATAACGGTGCAAAGAAGATGATGGCCTGCTCCTATCGCAAGCATCCATAGTTGAATGTTGCAGTGATGCATCCTTCCTGGCCATACTGGCTCGACCATGTATATTGCATGTAATCTCGCAAAGTAGAACTTTGTGGATGGGCCTAGGTTCCAGGCAAAAGCGGCCTAAGCCTTCATTTGATGCTCCCACTTGGGCAATGCATTTCCTTTTTTGATGCGTAGTGTGTGGTTGGTACAGGATTTCCTACTCTTCAAGGATGCTTTAGGGTAAAGGGGGCCGTTTTGTGCAATACCAATGCGTCTGAACTTTTCGTTTATTGGGTCTTCCGAGTATAACGTTACTGATTGCAATGTTTCTTGTAATTTCGTGTTGGCTCCATGTCTGGTTCTAGTGACTCAAGCTTTTGTCGCGCATAAATGCTTTTTGGGTTCCATGGATCTTAAGCCAGCAGCTACTCCGTTGAAAGTCTTCCTGAGTCGCCTGCTTCAAAATGTGCTCAAATTCATTGCAAAACGCAGAACATGGACCGTTCCAACCGACCCCTCTCGTGGATCGTGCTCTTACCGATAGAGAGTCTCCAAAGGCAAGAAGTGCTGAAACCAATGTTTCGTGCACTTCCGAGCCTCACCAGCGAAATTCACACATGCAAACGGCCAGGAGTCACTCAAGAACGTGTCACCTTGTTTTGTTCGAGGAAAAGGCTTGAGCCCCCCCCCCCCCCAATTAGATAGAAATTTTTAAATCTTAGGTTTGCACCAGCACAAACACCAGCACCTACTAAGTTACTAAGCCCACTACCACTACGACGACTACTACTACTACTACTACTACTACAACGACGACAACAACTACCACTACTACTACTACTACTACTACCACTACTACTACCACTACTACTACTACCACTACTACTACTACTACT